AAAGATAGAAAAATAATTGTAATTTACAACTTTATAAAACTAAATTTATATATTTTATACTTTTTACAAAATTATTTTATAAAGAATTAGAAAAAAAAATATTATAATTATAATTAAAAAATTAAAAAAAATATAAATTTAAAATATAATTAAGAAATAAAATAATATATAATAAATATATTTATTTATATATTAAAATATAATTTATTTAAATTAAAATAAAATTAACTAAAAAATTATTATACTTATATATATATTTACTATAATTATAACTTTATTTATATATATTAGAAATTTATTTTAAAATAAATATTATTTATACATTTATTTTTTACAAACTATTTTTTCTATCATTTTTTATTTATTTTCTATTCATCGTTATTTTTAATAAATAGTATTATACAAGTAATATCATCAATAGTATCATCATTCTATATATATTTTAAAAAAATATTTAAAAAACTTAAAAATTATTTTACTTCTTGCCATAACTTTACAGATTACTTTATAATACTTTCTGCTGCTCCATTAATATTATTAGTTTTATAATAAGATTATACAATTTTACATACCTTAATATATATATATATAATATTTATTTATGCATAAATATTTTTTAATAATATACCTCATCATTACTAAGAAATTCCCAAACTCCATCACTTGCTATAACAATAAATTTATCATCTTCTCCTATATCAAATTTTACAATTTCCGGTTCTGAAATAACTCCAACTTCCCTTCCTGCTTTATCTCCTAAAGACCTCGACATAGCTAAACCTGGGTAAGTCATATTTTTATTCCAGACCCTATATATGCCTTCATTTTATCCATTTTCATCTGTCTATAGTTCCACTCTTCCTCCATTTTATTCTATTCTTTTTTTTCTTTTAATAATTCTGGTTTATGATCAATACTTAGCGCTAAACTTTTCCATTTATGTTCTTTTTAGATATATCTACATACTATAGCTCGTGAATCTCCACAATTAGCACAGTATAATTTATTTCCTTATAATAAAACTGTGACAGCTGTTGAACCACTTAAATAAGTATTAATTTTAGTATTATTTAGGAGATCATTTGAAATTGTATGGAATGATTAAGTCAATACATTAGAAATACTTTAATCTTATTTTAAATAATTAAATATTATTTTTGGAAGGTTATCTTTTATGTAATTTGATACTTAATCCCCGTATTCACCTATTTTTTTTATTATTTTTTTTAAAAAAAGTATTTTTTTTATTATTACCATGCCCATCTAATACACCAAAAAATCCTATTTATTAATCATTATGTTTTTTCAATATGTTTATACTGGAATCTTAGTTTATTTTTTTTTCGTGAGGACTATATTGTCCAGCTCTTGTTTTTATTAAAGTACTAATCTAAAATTATTTTACTTTTCCCTTTTTTATATATTTTATATAATATATATATATATATATTTATATATTTATATATTTATATATTTATATATTTATATATTTATATATTTATTTTATTAACCATTTAATCCTTATAACTTCCTAAATATAAACTATCATTAAGTTATAAATCTTAAATATCAAAACTAGGATTTTTTTAACTTTAAAGCTTTGTCGAATTTATTTGTTTTTCGATATTTTCTTTTTTTTATTAAGTAATTAATAACTAACTTTTAGCATTTTTATTATAATCAGTAGTTGACTTTAATTACTTATTACTTACGACATTAAAAGTAGGACAGTATTGGTTAAATTTAACTAACTCTTTTTAATTTATTTATTATGAAAGCGATTGTTTATTTTCATAGTCATTTTCTAATTCTTCAAAACTAGACTTTTATTATGTTTCCACTGATATTTTTTTGGGGTGAAGAGATTATGAACTATTTTTCTAATTATTTATGCTTTTTATATTAAAAATGTTTTATTTTAAATTTTTATATTCAGATAATTTTGAATTCTATATTATTTTATTTAACTGTTGTTTGTAAACTTATTTCTCATATGCCTAACTTTCTCTTACTAATATTTCACTTCCTCTATTATTTTAATTACATTATTATTAAATGATTATATATATAAAAACCTTTTTGTTTTTTATTTAAGTTATTATTATTTATCTAATGGAGGAAGTCTTTACAAATCATTTTGTTATTAGTATTTTTCTAATTAAGATATGAAATTATTTATTGGATTATAATTATTTTATTCCTCCTTTTATAAAGTCTTTTTTATCTAAAATTCATTATTAAATGCAGAAGTTTAAATTTTATTATATTAGTCTTTTTTAGTTATTTTTTGTTATTTAAATAATTTATATTTTTTTTTACCTGATTAATGCATTTTTAATTCAACTTTTTCATATTAGTAGGCATTTTTATTAAAAGAATCTATTTTATTTTATAAGTTATATGTAAATGATATTATATTATTTAAAAAAAATTACTTTAACCTACTAATAATCTATGTTAATGCTATTTTTCGTTCATATTTTTTTCTTTTAAAATTAATATATGAATTTTACAATATAATATATACTATCTTAAATTTGCTTTGAAGTTTAGATTTAGATCATTTGTTTTAATATTTTGTTAAGTTTATTTTTTTTAATTAAATAAATTTATAAATGTATTTCTATATTATTTTTTTTAGTTAAATATATTTATAATTATAAAATTATTTTTTTACTTTTTATTAAAATGTTTTTTATACAAAATTAAAAAAATTATAATTTTGATAAAAATAAAGTAATTTTTTTTTAATTCATAAATAAATAATTAATTTATATAAATAAAATTATAAATTAATTAATAATATTTTTATAAAAAAAATATTAATTCTTATTATATTTTATAATAATTTTTATAAATTATACTTAATATTTATATTTGATATTAAAATATAATTAATTTATATTATTTTGTAAATTTATATTTAAAAAAAAAATTAATTATTTTTATAATAATTTATAAAGACTATAATGTTAATATTTATAATATTTTATTAATTAAAAAAATTAAAATAAATATATATGCAATATAATGATATTATATTTATTAAATAAAGTATTTTTATATAGAATATATAGAATTAAGGAAATTTAATATATATATATATATATATATATATATATATATATATAAATATATAAATAAATATATATATATATATATAGTCATAAATAAATAAAAATGAAAAAAATATTAAAATTAAAAATAATAATAATATTTTTAATAATAATAATAATAATAATAATAATAATAATAATAATAATAATACAAAAAGAAGAATAATAAAAGAATAATAAAAAAAGAATAATAAAATAATAAAATAATAATAAATATAATAATATATTTTTTAAATTCTTATTTAAATAACATTATTATTTATAAACATAATGATAATGTTCTTTATTAATAATAATATATATTTTAATATATAACTAATATAAATATTACTTGATATTTATTAATTTAAATAATTATTTAATTATATAATTATAAGATATTTTTATTTAATTAAAGTTTTTATATTAATTTTTTTTATATTTTATTTTATTTTCTAATATATTATTTATATCTAAATAAAAATGATTTTATAATATTTAATTAACAAAATATTATATAATTATATTTTATATATTCAAATTTTTTATATCCAACGTTTTTGAATCATATATATTTCTGTTAAAATATAAACATGTTTTAATAGATAGAGTGATCCTGGAAATATACAAAGCATTATCCAAAAAGTAATTCCAAAAAATCCAATTAAAAAAAAAATAATATAAATAGCAATTTTTTTAGTACGGCTTTTTTAAATAAAAGATTATCCTTTTAAATCTCAAATAAACTGCAAATGGAGAATATACAGCTATAAAAGGTAAAACTGGAAAAAAACAGAATACGATAATACTAGATATTAATAATATTAATAAAAAACGTATTAGACCTTTTATGAAATATTATAATCTTACTTACAATGTTATTTCTTAATTTACTAATAATAAACCTATACATATATATATATTTTAAAAATAAATATTATTTAAATTTTTACAAGGGCATCCGAATATATTATATAATTTATAATGAAAAGGAGTATATTCTTTTTTACAAATCCAGCAAAAATCATGTTTACAAGAAGGACAATTAATTGCATTTTCAGCTAAGAATATATATATATATATATTTATAAATTAAAAGAAAAAAAATTAATTATTACTTTGAACTTTCATTATTAATCCTTAACAAAGTGGACAAACTCCTTTTCTAATACGATAAAGATGTATTTATAGTTTATTTTATAAAGATTCTATACATGTGACTAAATAATAATAATAAAAACAAATAATTTTATATTTTTTAAAAAAATATATAAATTATTATTATTATTTTTTACTTTTTTTGTGAGATGGCATATAGCATAAATAACACACTCTCTATTAACAATTATAGCATTTTTAATTATTTTTATCTTACTTAAATTTAATATGGCTTTAGCAGTTTTCTTATACACAATCTTAGAAAATAAATAATTATAAAAAAAATATAATATGAAAGAAAGTTATAAAATTTATATTATGTAAAATTAAAAGAGACTATTCATTATTTTTTTTTTAAAAAAAAAAAAATTAATATTCTAATTTATTTTGTATATTTTTAATTGGAAAAATGAAATAAAATATAAACTTATTCCTTATTTTTTTATTTTTTACATCTTATTTATGGGTTATTATTAATTATTGAAAGCCTTTTAAATTTTAAATACTATCCGAAAAGTTATTTATTTATAATTTATTAAATTTAATCTTCAGTATAAGCATATTAACATTTTTCCTATGGACAATATATATGAGTTACTCTTCCTTACTAAATTCTTGAAATTATATATTATTCTTAACATCTTATACAAAAAGTATGTCCACTAAAAATAATTATAGTTTAAAAAATAAATATATATAAATACCAATTTTTGGAAACTTTTAATTATAAAGTTTCTGGTACATTTAAAAAGCAAATACTACACAAACTAATATTAACTTTTATAGAAATAGAAAGCCTGCTAAACTCTAATTATTTATTATCATTAAAATCGACTTTCTAATTGTTAATGTTTCGAGATTATTATAAATAATAATTATTTTCAATTTTAGTCCACCTTTATTTTTTTTATTCACTAAGTAAATAATCTACGAGTTATTCTAAAAGACTTAACAAAGATTATTTTAGATTCATATTTTATTCAATATATATTTATGCTTTTTAAATACATAATTGCATTTCGAGGACTTTTATTTATAAATATAATGACTTTTTTGCTTCATTGAAAATTTTTTCATCTACTTATTAATAAATAGTGTTTTATTAAGATAAAGGAATATCATTTACAGTAGTTATTACTTAATTTTTGAATTCTACTTAAACTTTTTCTATAGACTTTAATACAGGTTTTTTGCCATATTATTTTTTTAAATCTTAAATAGTATGCATTTTTAAATAATTTTATGTAATATAATATTATTTTATAAATATTGATCATATTAGCATTTTTTAAATATAAACTAAATATATTAATGTATCATTTCACTAATATATTATAATAAAGTTAATAAGAATATTTATTACAAATAATATATTTAATGTATCTTTTTAATAATTTATATATTTAATATTTAATATATATATATATATAGAATTTCGCTTTTTAAAATATATATAAATCATTTTCTTTCATTATTTACACAACCGAAAATCTTTAGTATTTTTCCTAAAAAAGAGACTTAATTATTATTTTGTTTATTTTTATTTCTTATATATAATAAATCTCTACTTATTTATGAGTTTCTATAAATTTATTCTTATTCTTAATCAATATCATTAATAGTTTTATTTTAAGAACTATTTGTATAGCATCTTTTATTAACATATTTTTAATTATTTGGAATTTCATCAATATAATTACTTCTAATATTACTTTTTAATCGTTATTTTTTAATTATTTATTATTGTTATTGTTATTTATCAAATATTTTATTATTTGGATTTTATTAATAAAAAATAACATTTAAATTTTATTTATTTAGAATAAAATCAATATTAATTTCATTTATTTAATAAAATTTTTACATCCATCTGTGTTATAAAATCTAATCTAAAGAAAATCTTTAAAAGGCATTTTTTTTCAAAATACCGCAAATAAGTTCTTATAAATCATTTCCTATGAAATTCTCGAATTTAATTTCTTAAGAATTTACAATAGAATTTAATTTCACACTATTATTATTACCTCTAAAGGGCGTATATCCATGTAATAATTCATATAATAAAATTCCTAAAGACCATATATCTATTTTGTGGTCATAAGGTATATTTTCTATCATTTCAGGGGCCATATAATCTATTGTTCCACAGAAAGTATTTCTTACACTGTTATTTTATTCAGCACTCCAACCAAAATCACAAAGCTTAATATCACCATTTTAATCAATTAATAAGTTTTCGGGTTTCAAATCTCTATGGATAATACCATTTTTATGTAAATGATATACACCAAGACAGGTCTAATAAAAGAATCTAAAAGCAATATTTTAATTAAGCTTATTTAACTTTTTTAGAACGGAGTATAAATTGCCTTATTCGCAATATTCTAAAACTAAGTATACATTTTATTTATCTTCGAAATAATAAAAAAGTTTACAAATATTTGGGTGATCCATTTTTTTTTATATTTTTATTTCTCTTTTTAAATTTTAAATACTACAATATTAGAATAATATTTGTTTTTGTATCTTTCATATATGAAAATATATATTTATAAATAAAAATTATATAATTATATATATAATATATATATATATATATATATATATTTAATTTGTACTATTTTTATTGCATATTTCTAATTATTTTATTTATCTATAGCTAATCTTACTTAACCGAATGTTCCTTAGCCTAATAATAATTTTTTTCCAGGAGCTTCTATGAATTTGTAATCAAATATATTTTTTTTAGGTTTATTATTTGAAACTATAGTACTTGAAATTGGTTATGTTTTTGATTTTGTATAATCTGTTGAAATCAGATCTTCTTCTGTATTTAGAGTATTACTTTTTTTAAATAAATTAATTAAAATTATTAATAAATTTCTTTTATATACTATTATTCAAATGATGATTCATCATATTTAAAGTCATAACCATAGTTTTTATTTTATTGTATTTATTTATTTATTTTGTAAAAATTAGATTATTGTTATTTTGATGTAAATATTTACATTTAATGATATTTTTATGAAGTTTTATTATAAAATTTTATTTATTTTAATCTATATATATATTCTTTATTTTACATAAAATATTTATGTAAAAATTTATTAATATATATATAATTAAATAATTTATATTACTAAAAAAAAAAAAATATTAAAATGCTTAAACAGAATATTTAAAAATAATAAATATTATTTTTATTATAATTCAATTTTATTATTTATGATAATTAAGTAATAAATTTAAAATAAAAATTTAAAATAATAAATTATAAAATATAAATATATTTTATAATATATAATATATATATATATATATATTTATATTTTTTAATTAATTATTATTTTTATTTTGTAATTTTTGTATTTTTTTTTTTTATTTTTTTTGTTATTTTATTATTATTTATTTTTTTAATTTATATATAGAATATATTAGCTTTTTTAATTAATAATATATAAACGTAAAAAAAAAATATTTACTCATTCAAAATATGATCTTTTGATTTTATTATATATTATTTTTTATTTTATTAAATCCGAATTAATTTTAGAAACTGAAAACATTTGAGAATTTTTGTAATTTTAATTTCGAACATTTCGGAATGAAACTTATTGACTTTCCCTTATCATCTATGTAGGAGAGAATTTTTTTTCTTTTATTATTTATAAAGGTTTATATTTTGTTAAAAAATTATTTTATTTTTGAAATTCTTAAAAAATATTATTCTATTTATCAAATATTATCTCACTTCTTTTTTAAATATGTTTTTTATTATTATTAGATTTCATAAATAAAATATTATTTGATATATCAGTTTGAAAATGAATTCTTGAATTATTTACTTTTAAATTTTAAGATATAGTAGAACTTAAAGTATTCAAACAATCTTAATTTTAGTTTATTTTTGGAGTTGTTAATGATTTTTTTTCATATTCTTTTTTTATTTTAAATATTAATTTTTTAGATACTATTTAATTAGAAAAATCGTTTATAGTGTTTAAAATATCCTATATATCAATATTTTCTTTTTTTTATTAATTTTGGTATTATTTAATATTTTATAAAATATTTTTCATTTATAATTCTTCTCCATTATCTATTTATTCTTAAATATAATTATTCTAATATTTTATTTATAATTCTTAATCAATTTAATAATATTCTTAAAATTTTCTTTTTAACAGTTAATATGATATTTTTTCGTTTTCATCAATAAATAATCTTATATCATTAAATATATTTTATACATATTAGAATATTTATTTTTCATAAGCATTAATATTATTGTTTTATGAGTTTTTATATTATTATATAAATTTTAATAAATTACTATTATTATTTTGTGAATCTTTCAAAAAATCTTTATAATTGCTTTTTTCTTAGAAAAAATCTATATTTTAATTTTCTTATATATTCGAATAACTTCGACCACTAAAGCAAGTTTAAGTCGGGTCTACTTCTTATGAATATTTTGAGTTTGTAAAAAGTATTTTTTGATTGCTTTAAAATTAAACAGTGTCAATTTCTTAAAATTATGTATTTTCCATATTAATAAAAATTAAATATATTCAATATTTAATTAATTTACATATTTCTTAAATTAAAAGAAAATTATTATTTTAATATTTTGTAAATAATATAGATGTATATATATTTTTTCGTATATAGAAAATATTATTTTTTAAATTATTTCATATAAATAATATATATATATATATATATATATATATATATATATATATATATATATATAATTTTATTTATTAATCTAATTATTTTTTTACTACAAAATGAGTTTTAATGATAAAAATATAAATAATTTTTTAACTAATTATGAATTTAATAAAAGCTAATTCATAATGCAATTAAAACTATAAAAGTAAATGGAATTTATAAAATAGAGTAAATAAAAGTTAGCTAAATGTAAAAATGAAAATAAATTTTAAATTAAACAAAAAGTCTATTAATAAATTTTAGAAAATCAACATAAAGTATAAAATGATTGATTATTAATAATTTATTAAAATAAATAGGATTTATTGAAAAGTAATATTTCTATATAAAAAAATAAATTGAATAAATATTCCCTAGAATAAGCATTAGACTTAGATTTATAAGATTCTGTTTTTATATAATAATCTTAATTTGAAAAAAGCAATCATTTGAATTAGCTTAGCAATTAAAAATAAAATTTAATTAGAGAAGAATTAAATATAAAAAGACTTGAATTTAAGTGATGAAGAATAAGTATATTTCAAAGAAAAATTCGAAGACTATTATCCTTCAGAATATTTTTTTACTTAAAAGCTTGATTAATTTTGTGAATGTGAAGATTTTTAATGTACTTGTTCTTAAAATCAAAAGGAATTTATTGTTAAAAAATCACTAAAAAATTCACTTATAAATCCTTTGTAAGAATAAATTATAAATAATAATAATTAGTTTAAATAAAGCTTTTCGAAATAAAAGGAGGTTATATAGCATATTTAAGAAGATTTATAAAAATCAGAAATAAAGTCTATAAGCGAATCAATCATAAATAATAGTTATTAGTGTAAATAAAGCCTTTTAAAATAGAAAGAGAATATTTAATAAATTTAAGAGGATTTATAGTAATTTGAAAAGTATAATAATAGTATTTATTAAATAAAAAGCGAAAAATGTACTGGAAAGTTAAATCAATAGTAAATTATAGAAAACTATAATATAGAAGAAGGAATAAGAAATTCAAATTCAGAAATATAAACAGTAAATCAAACATATTTATAATAAAGTTAAGTAGATTAATAATTAAGAATGCATAATTATTATTAATAATAAGAATAAGAATAAGAATAAGAATAAGAATAAGAATAAGAATAAGAATAAGAATAAGAATAAGAATAAGAATAAGAATAAGAATAAGAATAAGAATAAGAATAAGAATAAGAATAAGAATAAGAATAAGAATAAGAATAAGAATAAGAATAAGAATAAGAATAAGAATAAGAATAAGAATAAGAATAAGAATAAGAATAAGAATAAGAATAAGAATAAGAATAAGAATAAGAATAAGAATAAGAATAAGAATAAGAATAAGAATAAGAATAAGAATAAGAATAAAAATAAGAATAAGAATAAGAATAAGAATAAGAATAAGAATAAGAATAAGAATAAGAATAAGAATAAGAATAAGAATAAGAATAAGAATAAGAATAAGAATAAGAATTTATAATATCAAATTATTATTAATAATAATAGAAATTAAAACAGTAAAAAATATTGAATAAAGTTAAATA